CAGGGCAGGACCTCACCCCCACAGCCCCAATCCCGGCCCATCCCCACACTGAGCCCCCTGCGCTCGGGTCTCAGCCCCAGCGGTGGGAGCTGATGTGCCTGTCCCTCTTTTGTTCTCTCTGACAGAGGGGCTGAGGATCCCCGCAGCCTGGGCTAGCAGGGGAGTCTTGCCGAGACCTTCAGAGGACAGAGAGGTGATACAGACAGGGAATGTGCAAGCTTGTTTTAGCCTTGGCCCTGTCCCTCTGACTGCCCCAGTCAGGATTCTTCCAGTCCTGCTCCTGAGTAACCAGCCCAAGTTCCAGAGTCTGATTTCCTCTGTTGCTTCCCCATTTCCCCATTTTTCTAAGCTGGGGCTCCTGACCATCCTCCAGCTCCTGATCACCCCGCCAGCAGTGGGGCTCCTGACCATCCTCCAGCTCCTGATCACCCTGCCAGCAGACCCTGCCCAAAGCTGCCTCCTGCATGGGATTCCATGGGATTCACTCCACACCCACAGACAGTGCAAAGTTCCTTTTTTTTTTTTTTTTTTTTTTGGCAATTTTCTCAGATTCACAGCTCACGTGCTCTGGAGGCTCTTGCCCAGAGGGCTATCCCCATATTCCTGCAAAGAGCTCCAGGTCCCCATCCACGTGGCAGCTGTGTCTCTTACCTTCAGGAACCTGGCAGTGGCCACTCCCTTGATAGCCACAGGCCTCTTGGGTTCTAGGTTACCCTAAAAGACTCTTCTGAGTCTTTTAGGGTACAGGAGGCACAGGCCTCTCCAAGCTGCTTGGAGTTGGGCGGGCCCTGCAAAGCTGGTTCCAGTGAGTCTCAGCCTGTCAGTGGGCCTTTAATACACCTCTGATCTGGGAGCACTGGGTCACTCTCCCTTCCATCGGCTGAGGCTTCCCTGTCCCTAATCACCCTCACAGTCCCCACAGCCCTGCCTGAACACAGGCAGCCTGGTGCAGGCAGGGCTGAAGGGAAGAACAAGCACAGCACCTCTGATCCTCTGCACCAGCCTCCTCTGTGCTCCCAGCAACAATAAATACTAATAAATACAAACTCTTGCACACTTTCTGCTCCCAGACCTGAGGCCAGTGTGGGAGGTCTCACTCTCAGCTCCAGTCCATCTCTTCACTCCCACCCACCCAACCTCAGCCAACAGCCGAGTCTCCAAGCTGGGAGCAGTGCCAGCAGAAGGCCTGGGCATGTCCCTGGGGTGCCAGGGCTGCTCCTCAGCCCCTGCCCCTCTTGGTGAAGTGCCCTGGGTGATCCCAGCCCTGCTGCAGAGCGTGGTGTCCGTGCTGGGCGGGAGGGTGGATGATATCTCAAAGCAGTGCTTGGTGGCCCTTTTCTCTCCCCTAAGTGCTGGGCTGGAGGCTCCCCAGTGGCCCTGGGGGGCAGGGAGTGAAGGAGGTCAGGCCCGGGGTGAGTAGCAGGGGTTCCGCGGCATCTCTGTGAAGGATTTCAGTTCGTAGGGGATCCCCGAATCCACCTCAATCGACTTGCGGGAGAAAAGCAGCCGAATGTCGTCGTGAAGGTAGATCTTCCCTGACTTGGAGCTGTGAAACCTGTGTGGAGACAAGCAGGACAGAGGGACCTCAGGCTCCCCAGGTAAGGGAAGGCCATCCTCAGTGAGGGCACAACCCCCTTGACTACTTTGGCCCCTGGCTAATGTGGGCACCCTCTGATTGCCTTCAGAGGGACAGAGACAGCTGCCCTTGGGCAGGATGGCAGCTCCAACCTCCTCAAAGGAGCAGCTGCTCCTCCCCAGTCTCTCCTCCTGCCTGGCAGGCTTGGGACAAGACAAGAGAGGAGCACAGGGATGACCTTGGGGCAGGTGCCCATTGCCCCGGCATGCTTTACCTTAGATGCATCAGGTAGCAGAGGACCCTGCGGGGTGGGCTGGTGCCCAGTGGGTCACTGGGGGCCACTGTGGGCCCCTCTTCCTCCCCCACGGGCACCAGGAAGATGCGATGGCGTAGGAAGGTCATGTGGTTGGCCGGCATGTCCTGGAAGTCGTATGTCACCAAGAACATCTTCACCACAGTCTTGTTGGGGTTAAATAAGGTCTGGGGGCAGAGGGGTAGGGGGTGAGACTGAGAAGGATGCAGGGCAGAGATGGGGCATCTGGGAGCAGAAATTGCTGGACCAAGAAACCAGAAAGCCCCACACAAATCCTAGAGGGCTTAGCCTGAGTGCCATAGCTTTTTCCACACACCTTCACACTTGTGCTCCTCTTCCATGACATCCCATTCCCACTGCACATACGCACTTTTCTGCCAAAACCCTCACACGCCCTTCCTTCCCTGATTCTCCCATCACCTTGTCTCCTTGACAGCACCCTAGGTACCCTGTGCTCCCCTCTGCTATGCTGTGGTGGTGGCCATTTAATCTCTCTGAAGGAGACACCCCTTCCAGCTGCTGCCCTGCCTACAACAGCATGGAGCATTTCCCTCCCACCCCCAGCAGGGCAACCAGAGCCCAACCAGCCCCATCCCCACAGTGCTAGTGCAGGCCAGGGAATGACTCACCACTTGGATGGTTCCAGCTTTGGGGACACTGTAACCCTTCTTTCCCAAGGCCTCCAAGTCAATCACTCCCTGGGGCAAAATAAACAGCGTGTGAGAGAGGGGAAAGCCAAGGGAAAGCTGGGAACCAGCATGGGCCTGAGACTCCCTTGCTGGGAACACTTGGTAGAAGTTAACGGGAAGACCCCCAGCTCAGCCCCTTTCCAAACCAGGAGAAGAAACAAAGAGGTGGTGACAAAAGAGGTGATGACAATGGCAACCATGAAGCAGCAGAGCCTGTGTATGTTCCCTCTTCTTTCCCTTTTCTGGGTTAAAGACTGCTCCTGGAACAGGTAGCCATCTCCCTTAACAGGTGGTTGCTGGAGCCACCCTCTACAGCCAGGGGCTGCCCCAGGGTGTCAGGGTACAGTCCCCCCAGCTCCCCACATCCATGTACCAGGAAAGGCGAGGGCACGCTGTGTTCAGAGATGTCGAAGTAGGTGACGTCGACAGGCAGGGTGACATGCTGGGGACAGTAGGAGCCACTGGCACCAATCTCTGCCGTGAAACCCTCGATCCTCCCCGATGGTGCAAAGCGCCCCTTCAGGATGGACTCCTGAGAGGGAGGGAAGCGTTAGGGAATCTCAAACACCAGCCCTACCCCTGCCTCAATGCTCCAGGTGAAGTCATCCCCATCTTCACTGCACCCAGCTGACTGCTTGCCCTCGTGTGCCCAGAGACCTCATTCTGAGACACACCCACCCTGAACTGCTGGAATAACACCAACCATCTAACAAGGAGAAGCAGTGAGAGTGCCTTGGCTCAGCCTGGCAGCACCTATCTCAGCAGGTTCCACCCAAGGATCTGCTGGCTGAGCCATGCTGCTGGTGGGGCTGTGTGGTGGCGACTGCAGGCACCACACAGCCCCACCACTTTTGGGGACAATCAGCCTAGTCTCACACCACAGCTCCCATCAGGTGCAGCCTCTCACTCATTGCTAGCCTTGCATGCAGTCCCCAGGACCCACCTTCCCCCAGCAGAAAGGCACCCTTACCTCAAAGTTGCCCAGCAGAGCGTGGCTGACAGTGGTGGTGGCCCAGGGCACTGTGGGGGACCTGGTGCCCCTCCGGAGGCTGGTCCGGAGATGTCGCCTTGGAGTGAGAAGAGAAGACTGGTGCTGGACTGAAGAGCGCACAGCCCTGGGTTGTTCATGTCTCTGGGAATGTGGATCCCTCTCCAGGTCCCCCATACCTCTGCTAGAGGTTGAACCCACTTTCCTACATCCCAGGGGAAGAATAAACACCACCCCCACCCCATCTGCAGTCCTATGGAGGGGAGATACATGGGCCAGGGCAGGGCAGAGGACTCAACCCAAGGTGAACCTCCCATGGGGCTGCAGGGCACTGAGGTAGGCAGGTCCACCCTGAGCCCCCACGTCCATCCCACGGGGCTGCCAGCACACTCACGATTTGAGACGCAGCCCACTCTTCAGCCTCCTCCCGACCGCAGTGCAATCTGAAGAGCTCTGAGAGGACACGAAATGGAGAGCCATGTTAGGGCAGCAACCACTGGGAGGTGCCATCGTCCCTTGTCCTGCCCCATATTCCCATGAGAGTCTCAGCAGATGGAACAGGCTCCTGTCCTTGAGCAGCCATCAGCAGCCTCTGGAGGAGTGGCCAACAGGGCAGCACAAGGACTGGGGTGTCTGGTGGGAACATGGGGCTGCCCAAAACCTGAAGTGGCTCAGCTGGGAAAGAGAGTGTTGACACCCAAGAGTACAACACACTGTTCCCTCTTTAGAAAGCAGGTCTCAGAAGCAGCCCCAGTGGCAAACACTTGTAGACAGAGCCATGCAACAATACCCCCTTGCACCTCCCAGGGACTGGTGACACCTACAAGGACACTTGCGGACCAGCCTCTGAAAAGTTCTGTCCCCTGGTGATTCATGCAAAGTCCTCAGCAGTGCCACCAGGCAGTGCCACCCCTACTCACAGCTAGGATCCTACAGCTGTGGGGTGGGGGAGTTAAAGCCACAGTCACACTGCAGCCTCCTTTTAAAGATGTCCCTTTTTCAGGGGCTTTCTCTTCTGGAAGCCACACAAAGGGTAGCACAACACAAAGGGATGATGGAGCTGGCTGGCATGACCAGGCGGGAAAACCCAGGGAAGCTGCTGGAGGGCTTCACTCTGCAAGGACAGTGCTGGGGGCAGCTGGGCTGGGGGACAGTCATGAAAAAGGCACACAGCAATGGAGCTGTGTGCCATGGATGGTGTGACCCAGCTCCAAGCAGCAAGAAGCCAGGGTAGCTCTGACATCAGTTCTTGTGTGTCCCCACACCAAGGGATGCCCTAGAGAAGAAGAAGGGGCCAGGTTTGGCCTGAGCCTCCTGCAGCCTCAGCTGGCAGGACAGGGTGAGGGCAGGGGCTGATAAGAAGGGCAGGGTAACAAAGGGAGAATTTGAGGCAGCTCCTGAGCTGCTAGGGAGGGTTGCAAACCTCACACGTCTGCCCCATTGCTGAGACCTTGTGGCACCTTGAGGACATGCCACAGGGACCCCAACAGGGCAGAAAAGCCAGTGGCATCTCTGTATACAGCACTGGGTTCCTTGGTCAAAGCATGTTCAGTCCCACTGCCTGCCACTGGCCACTTGCTCTAAGGGGCATCATGGCCAGGAGTTCAAGCCATCCCACACATCTGCCTTCCTCGTCACCAGGCAGGCAGAGGCCAGCCCTCTTTCCAATCTTGCTGGTATATCATGGCCTAACATGAAGCCATCAGACACCAAAAGTGGCTTCATGACATGTGCAGCTCTCACTGCCATGGGGAGGTTGTCTCCTGCCCAATCAAGGCTCTCCAGGAGAAAAAGCAGTTGCATGCAGAGGATCTAGTGACTGCAAGATGTCAAGATTTGGTTAAAACAGACCATGTGTGTCAGGGCTGACTGTCAGCTGCGGCCTTGCTCACACCAGTACTGCAGCTCAGGGATAGCACAGGGCATGGTGCCACAGTGGACCACACTGCCCACAAGCACAGTCCTGAGCTCTGGGCATCCCCAGGCCATTCCCTGCTTTCCCCTGGAAGCAATGCTCACCTTGGCTGCAGGAAGCAGGTGATTCCAGAACGGAGCTCCCTTGGCATCAGTGCTGCGGCAGGCTGTGGGCACAGGATGGCATGGCAGGACCCTCTTTTTCCTTGCTGGTGGGGACAGGCTCTCATCCTCAGAGCAAGAGTCGGCCATAACCTCGCCAGCGGGCAGCAACTTCCTTTTGGCTGGGCAGGTGCTGCTGAGCTGGCTGCTCCCACAGGGTGTCATCTCCTGGGAGCTCAGGTTGCTGGGCTCGGGGCTGAGTGCTGTCTGTGGAACTGGGGACTCCCTGCACCCATTGGCCACTGCTGGCCCTTCTGCTTCTCCACAAGCCCTGCTGGTGTGAGCTGGGCTGCTCCCTGGCTTCTCTCTCTTCCCACCAGGGTCCAACTGGGTTGTTTGTGCAATACTGTGCAAATCAAGGTGAAGTACATTGCGGCCACTTGACGGCTCCCCATTCTCTCCATAGTCTATGGGCTGATCCCCTGATGAGACAGGGCAACTGTCTCTCATGTGCAAAGTACTGCAAGCAATGTGCTGGGGCCAGGAGGAGGAGGAGGAGGAAGAGGAGGAGGAGGAGAAGGAGACATCCTGTGACTTGTCCTCTCTGCTGGCCTTGGGGCTGTGGCTAGGGCTGCCCTCACAGCGGTGCTCCACCACCCGCAGCCCGCTGTGGGAGAAGTGTTGGGCAGAGCCGCAAAGGGAGAGCTCCTCCACCAGCAGACCATCTTCAAAAGTATCATCATCATCCAGGGAAGGCTGCCCAGGGCCTCCATCCACCCCCCTGTCACCCCAGTGAGTTCGTTTGGGATCTCGTCCCCCCTCCAGAGTTCGCTGCTCGGGGTATCCCCTCTTGACCGCTGGCCGGGTGCCTGCCCGCTGCTCCGTGCTCTCAGAGGAGCTGGAGAGATGGGAGAAGATGGACACCTGGTAAACCTTCTGGCGCTTGATCTCTGTCTCATTGTAGCCCATGAGGATGCTGCGGTGTGTGCAGCACTGCGAGGAAGGCTCCAAGGGTGTCTCCCCCCTGGGCCGGGACAGGCTGGGCTCCGTGCTGCGCTCCGGGGGCAGAGGCGTCTCTGTGTGGATGTGCCGCATGGAGCCTCACTTGCTGGGACTCCGAGCGGAGCCCATGCAGCAGCAGGAAGGGGACTGTAAAGTGCCACAGGTCAGGGTGCAAGGGCAGAGGGTGGAAGCTAGGCCTCCTCTCACTCAGGATTTCTGTGTGAGCCCTCTACTATGAGGTGCTCTGCAGCACAGCATCTGGAAAAAAAGAGAGCAGAGGGATGAGGATCAGCCCTGGATCTCCATCCTCATCCAGGCTTCCAGCTGCAAGGAACCCACTGGGACAGGGCTCCTCACACAGCCCACTTGAATCACCCTCTCCAGGGACAGGAAGAGGAACTTAGCTGATGTGCCTTTCTGGGAAACCCTCAGGTATCACTCAGCTGCAGGTTCAGCACACACTTCCTGGCTTGGGCAACGAGAGAAGTCTCCAGACAGGCAGGAGACAACTGTGGACAAGTCTGGACAGGTGGGGAGGAAGAGGCCTGCCCTCTGCCAGGGACACGCTTGTGCTGTTGTGGAGCACAGGAGTCAGGCAGGTCAGACCAGTCCCAGGGGCTCAGGCCTGTAATCACCCCTTTGGGCAACAGCAGCAACATCTGCCAGTGCTGGCCAAGACGTCCTGCCTTGGCCACGTGCACTGAATGAGGCAGGGCTGGTGCCAGCCCCACAGCAGGGACAGGAACCTGTACAACATCCCTGTTACCTCTGCCAACTTGGACCAGCTTGGAGCTCAATCGCAGCTGGGAGATAGCAGGGTCACCATCCACCCACTCCTGCCAGCTCCAAGGGCCTACCCTTCTCTGTGCAGCATGGTGACTCACTTCTGATTTTCAGTCCAGTTTGAGAGCTGTGAAAATCCTGTCTACATGTTGGCTGGTTTCAGGCATGAAAAATACTGAAATGGCTACAAGAGCTGAGGAGATGCAGGAAAAGTCACCAGCAGACTGAGGACAAACTGCCCATGCCTGGCAGCTCTGCCTTTTGCCTGTCTTTGCAGCTGTGCCTGATCTTGTGGAGTAAGGGCTTAGGGCCAAGTGAGCTATAGGGAAATTTGTTCTCCAAGTGGATCAAGGCTATGTGGAGAATGAGCCTGCATATGTTATTTTGATCCTGCTGGGATATGGATGTGAAAATGGCAGGCCAAGGTGCTTGAGACGAGGGACTCTGTGTAAAAGGAGTGATAAAAGGTATAACCATGCACCAGGATATGCTGGGGACTGACTGGCTGGAAAGCAGCACAATAAAAAAGGCCTTGGGGGTCCTGGTGGGTGCCATGTTGACCATGAGCCAGCAATGTGCCCTTGCAGCAAAGAAAAACAATAGTGCACCAGGCACAGGATTAACAGCAGGTTGAGCAAACTGATCCTCCCTCTTTGCTCAGTGCTGGTGAGGCCGCATCTGAGAGAGTGCAAAACAGGGACACTAAAAAATTAAGGGAATAGAGCATTTGTCCTATGAGACCTGGGACTGCTCAGCCTGGAGAACAGAAGGCTCTGAGATCTCATCTAGATATCTAGATAAGAGGTTCCCTCTGAATATCAGAAAACACGGTTTTGTTTAACCATGACCAAGCATAAACAGTTACCTAGAGATGTTGCGGAATCTTCTTCCTTGGAGATATCCACAAGCGATCAGGACAAAGTCCTGGCCAATGGCTCTAGGTGGGGCTGGTCCAGATAACCTGCACATGTTCCGGCCAACCTCAACCCCTCTGTGTAACCCCCAGCAGTGCAGCCCATCCTGGCTGCCCCCACAGTTCTCACCCCTGCGTGTCTCTGGATCAGCCTCCCTGCCCCGCAGCAGGCGGTCCTTGGCACAGCTGGCTGCAGACGCCTGCCAGTCAGGCACCCCCCAGAAGCGGCGTGGCTGCCGTGGAATGGCTCCCACCATCACGGTGTGCCTCCGAACCTTTGCAACGTCCTCTCCAGCTCTTCAGGGTCCACAGTAGCTCTGAGGGGAAGGAAAGGGGGAGATGCAGGGCTGGGGTGATTCAGATGCTTCCTGGGAGAAGGGCAGGAGGGTGCTTCCTGTCTGCAGGGTCACACAGGCAGGGAAGGCAGCATCTGGGCTCATCCTTTCCCAGCCTCCCAAATCAAAGGCCACATACATCTCAGTCACCTCAGGCAGTGCTAACACATTGATTTCCATTTAAACCACAAATATTTTAAGCTAAGCTGTGAACTCTCACACCTGGCTTGATTTTACATCCCTTTTGCATGCCTTCCTGTATGAAACCCTGTGCATAGGAACAGATTCCTCTTTCTTTCTGGCGACCATTTCATGCCTTGCTTTCCAAGACACTGCAGCAACCTCTGGGCCTCCAGCTAGCTCCTGGTCTCATGTTCACCTCCTCCCCCTTCCACCCACAGCACAGGACACTTTCTGGTTCTACAGATAAGGAGAAGAGCTTGGAATTGTTTTCTTCCAATATGAGATGCCTGTCAGGGAAGGCAGAAATGAGGAGCCTGACAGCCCTGAGCCATAATGGCCCCCTACCAGTTTTCCCCAGCACAAAGACAGCAATCCTTTCATGTGCACAGCACTCACCTGTTCAGATGTGCCCTTGATGCACAACAGAGATTTGCAGATGCAACACAGCTCCCCTGTGGTCATAATCCACGGGCACTGCAGCTTTGATGCCTGGAAGAGGGTGTGGAGAAGAGTCAGCTGAAGCAGCAGCTCATGGTGCAACACCTTAAGAGTGTGCAGGAGCCCTTGAGCACCTCCACCCTCAGCACCTCTGTGGCAGACAGCTCATGGACTTCACCAGCCTAGGCACCTCCAGGTAAAGGAGGAAATCATGCCTATCCATAGGGACCATGTCCTCCCCACCTCCTTCCTATGCATCCCTCAAATGGCGACTCACTGCAGCAGCCATCCAGTGCGAAGTCACTGTCTGGGCAGTGAGTACTGCTCTGAAGGCTGGAAACAGCAGGACCAGGGGCCAGGCAGATGAACAAAAACCCCAAATGGATGCTCAGAGGCAGCAACACTCAAGTGCAATCCCCTTCTGGCATCCCGGTCTGACAAATTTTGCATCCCTGCAACTTGCACATGGGAAGCCAGCATCAGCTGTGCTCACTCCCTGACCTCACCTGCCCCAGAAAACAGGCTGTTCTTTCACTACATTTCCAACAAGATTTGTAATTACACACTCTCATGACCAGTCTCTGAGAGCTGGACAGCTCAAAAGCTACCACCACTGCTGGGGAAGGGCACCAGCAACCAGCCAGAACAGGACCTGTTGAGATACAGCTGCACCTGTTGGAGATTTTTTCAGGGATGGCCTAGAATGCAGCTGTGAGGAGCAGATTCTCACAGCCTGTTTCTGTGAACAGCAGAGGTTCTCAGGTTATTTTTAACTACAGGTAAAAGTGACAAACATGAAGGCCTTGGAGAGCCTTGCACATCAGAGTTCTCAGGCAGCTTTCTCATAACAAGTGGATGTTCTATCATTGGCTNACATCAGAGTTCTCAGGCAGCTTTCTCATAACAAGTGGATGTTCTATCATTGGCTGTTTTGGGAAAGCAAGAATAATTTTGAGAACCCAAATCTTGGTATTGAAAACACAAGGAGGGGTTGGTATGTTATCTCTGACCTATTGTGAGCTCAGATTTTGCAATATGCATGAAGTGAATTAACACTGTTATAAAAGGTGCCTGACTGATGAATAAAGTGGAGTCGATGCTGACCAACGCAAGGTGGGTCGTCTCCCTCCAACTTCAATATGCACCCAAGGAGTACTTGCAGCATAACAAGCCATGGGTCTAAAATCTCAACAAAAGCTTTTTGCAAAGACCAGCTCCTCCTGGCACCCCATGAGATCTGCACCAAAGCAGGTAGGAAAGCAAGTCAATGCCCTCAGTTGTGGGCGGATGCTGAAGTGGTAACATGTGGGGCTCTGCCTGCCTGGAAGGCTGCTGCGTCCCTCCTCCCTCCCTGAGGGAGCCCTGTACCATGACTTGTGTGGCACTATCAACCAATGGGAAGCAAAATCAGCAACCAACGGCAAGAATCAGCTTGGTGCAGCGGAAGAAAGAGTGCGTCCATGCCAGAACAAACACACAATTTCACCTGTGTCCTTTCATTCTCTTCCCCATGTCCCACAGAAGTCACAGCCATTTTCTCCCTGGCAACCACTGCCTTTCAGGAGAATGGATGTATAAGGACAGATTGACCTGCTAGCACCACAAACCCCTCCTAGCTGAGCTCTCAACACCAGTCATCAGGTGCTGCCAGCACCAGCCACTAAAACAAGGGGCTGCACCACCTTTTGCCAAGCCCAGATACTGCTGTTTGAAGCATCGTGCTAGAAAATGTCAGCCCCACAGAAGGAACAGGAAAGTATCACCCAAAGTGTCTCCAAGTGCACCCTAAGATCTCCTTTAACATCCTCTGTAAGGAATGCCCAACAGCCTGGACGGGCAGCAGCTGGGCCATAGCTCTGCTTCTCACCCTCCTCGAGGTGCAAGGGGCTGTATTCCAGGAAGGTTCTCTTGGCAGTGCCAAGTGCCTCCCAGGGCAGTTCCTCCCTGCTGAGAGCCCATCCAGCTCACAGTAGAGCTCAGCCTCTGACAGCACCAGGGGAGCCCACCACCTCCCCAGAGAACAGAACTTGGGACCATGGCCTCCTGCACTCCAAGCAGGGAGAAAGCACCTGGTCACCTTGGCCTTCTCGTGTCCTTGAGCCGGGCATTGCCAGAGCCCTGATTCTGGCCACATGGATGGGACAGAGCCAGGCCCAGGGTTTCACCAGCTCAGCCGAGCAGCACAGGTACCATCCCTGTGGACATAGCACATGGGGCTCCATGTGCCCATACCAAGGGTTTGGCCCCTCCTAAGCCCACATGATGCTGATTTTTTTTTTTTGACAGTGTTTCAGTCCATACTGGTGCTCTAAGATAGGACTCAAAGAGCTTTGCCTCTTAAGGGAAGCCCGCTCAGAGCTCTTCCACTCTCTGTCCTGCTCCTGCCAAGCCCCCTCATTGCTCAGAGATCAGGCAGGGCCTCATGCTTTTGCCAAGATCTCCAGCATCTGGATCTGGAGCTATGCCAGGCACAGCTTTCCTCTATTTCTTTGCCTGGGGAAGGGCACCACGCTTCAACACCCAAGAAAAACCCAGTGCCAAATGACCTGCAGAGAGGGAGCGTGTCCCAGGTGCTGGGGCAAAAACCCTGTGTTCCTTGGGGACACCAAGCCACCAGAGCCTGATGTGGAACACAGCCAGGCCTGGTGGGCTTGGGTCAGTGACTTGGCTTACGTGCTGGTTCCATTCCTATTAGCACATCCAGGAGGAAACCAGGATTAACAGACCATGGTCTCAGTCTGGAGGCAACAGAGCAGGATGGCAAGTGAGGATGGGTTCCTGGCTGGGCAGTGCAGCAGTGGTACCACATGCCAGGCTGCAGCCTGCAAAAGGATCTGATGCTGTTCGAGCTGCACTGTGCCAGCCAGAGAGGAAGCAGGATAAGTGTGGGGCAGGGAGGGTATCTGTCATGAGGCAGAGCCCTCGGGAGCCTGGGAGGGCCGGTAGCACAGTGCCAGTGCAAGGAAGAGAGCAAGGGCTGTGCCAGAAGTTGCCACCCTCCTCCAGGGGAAATCCAGTGGCTTCCCAGAGCAGCAGCCAGTCAAGTCAGTCAAAAGGGACACACGGCCAGTGGACAAGAAGCTTTGACCTGGGCACTGCTGCCTGGAACAGAGCACCAGGCTGGTGGCTGGCAGGGTCAAGAGGGGTCTTTGCAGAATTTAGACCACAAAAAACCCCAAACCAATGCCCAAGTCCCTTTTGCTGCCTTTCTCCTGCTTCCTCTCATGGGAAAAGAGACAATGGTGGCCTCACTCGGGGTGAAAGTAGGAACCACACAGCCAGGAAGGAGAAGGGCCACCATTAGAAGAGGGCAAATAATCATCCTCAGAAGAAGCAGAGTACAAGGCAAGAGAAGAGGCAACAGAAACTGCTGGAAACAGACGGCCTGGAGGATAAATCATAACTCTATTGGTCCTATCTGAACCCAAGGAGAAGGAAGGAAATCTAAGCAGTGTGAGCACAAACCCAGGAGCTCCCTGGCACAGGCTAAGAGCAGTGCTTGTGACGTGCCAGCAGGCAGAAAGTTTCCGTCACAACCCTGAAGGATGGCAGCACTAACAGCAATGCTGCCACCAGAGAAGGGTTCCTGCACAGTCTGGCAGACCAGGCATCTCACCATCAGGAGAGGGACACACGTGTGAGCTGGGGACTACCTCCAGCACTGTAGCAGAGGTGGCAATCCCAGGGAGAAGCTAACAAGATGCTAGAGGAGCAAACTGTGCCTGAAGGGAAAAATGACCACTGGCCATGGCTCTGGCACTATCCCGAAATTCAGGCTGGGGAGGAAGGTGCTGACACTTGGTGAAAACAAGAGAAAAAGAAGGAGAGGGAGGGGGAATGGATTCAGAGGGAGGGAGCTTCCTTGCCCCACTGCAAGGGCAAGTGCTGCTCTCGAGGGTCCTCAGGAGGCCTCCTGCCATGCCAGATTTATGCAGCTGCAGAGCCTTGTTCAGTGTTAGCCCCTGCTAGGAATGGAGAGGAAGCCCGAGCACAGAGAAGAAGGATGGGGCAAGAGGTATTGCCCATGTCACAAGTGCAATCTCCTAGAAACCACCAGACAGATCTTTTACAGAGACCCAACACCTCCTACAGTGCACCTTACAGAGCACAACACCTCCTTGTGCCCACAGCACCATGTCCCTGAGGTGCTGCTGCTCCCTCCCATCCCTCGGGAGGTGGCACTGACAGGGTGCAGAAGCCCCCAGGAACAGAGCAGCCCTCTCTGCAGCGCATCTTGCTGGGGCTCCAAGCTGCAGCAACCTCCTCAAGGGCTGAGCTCTGCCCAGCAACATGCAGTGCCTCCCCAGCCCCAGCCTCAGACTCGGTGCCGCAGGGACTGAGCCCTTCCGCTCGGCCAAGTCGGGATAACACAATGAAACCTCTCCTGGGAGCCCGGGGGAGCCGGAGCAGAGCTCCCAGCGTAGGGACTTACCCCTTCCCTCTGGTGTCCCTCGTCCTGGCACAGATCACCTCGGCACACCTTTCCCAGGTGCCTGGCTTGCACACGGCGATGCTGACAATAGCCTGCGGCTGGGAAGGGGGGTTTACAGGGTCTGCAGGCAGATCCCACTATGCGACAGCCACCTGTGTAAAGCTTTCCCCCACGTCCAACCCCCTCCCCGCCAGCCTCCCCTCCACGCACGGCTGCCCCTCTTCCCAGGAAAGCGCAGTCAAAGAATGAAAAGCAGCTTAAAATCCGGCAGGACAATCGGGCAGCTCTCCAAGGCCGGCAGCACCCCCTGCCCACCCAGCCCAGCAGGTTCAAACCTCTGCGATACAGCCCACGGCCGCCCAGCTCCAGTGCTCGACCGGGAGCCCAGGAAACCTGCAGCAGGCAGGGCAGGGAAATCCCATGCAGCAGCCGCTTACGGGGAGGACAGCCCAGGTTGAGGACAGACCTTTGTCTCTGCCTGCCTGTCTCGCTCGCTCGCTGCCGGAGGAGGAAGAGGGGGGCGGTGGGGGACAGCGAGCAAAGATAACACCCCTAGGAGGGATGTCACAGCCACGTTAATCACTTGGAATTCCAGCCAGCGCGCCGCAAATATGGGCAGCAAATGGAGATGCTCAAAGCTCTAAAATAATTGGATCCTTTCACAAGAGCCGAGCCCAGAATCCAGCACAGGAATTCAGTCCCCGCTGGAAGTCGAGAGATCAAATACATGGAGAGGCAGGCGCAGCACAAGGCAATCCTCAGCCACAGCTGTATCCAGCTCCATAGCCTTTGGCGCTGCTTTAATCTCAGGTGCCTTCCCAGCGGGAGCGAGGGAGGACCACAGCGGAGAGCCCGAGTGCCCAGCTGAGGACCGGCCCCTTCCCATACAACTTACTCGACTTGTGGCAAGGTGCAGAAGCGCTGTCAATGCAAAAGAGGGTTTTGTGAGGGAGACCAGCTGCCTCGAAGCCTTGCTCGACCGGAGGAACGGTCCATGGGATGGAGACCTCTGAAGCTGCTGTTTGGCCTCCGCTGCCCTGCAGGGGATTTGCCCGGCCCGGCAGGATTCCCAGCCCGCATCACATTCCCGGCGAGACGCACACGCGGCACATGTAGGCTCCTGCTCGGCGCCTCAACGGCAATGAAAAGGCACAGAGGCTTCTGCCAGAAAACAAAGAGGCAGCGGCAGAGCTGGGGGTGGGGAAAACTCTCCGCTGCCCAAGAGGATCCCTGCAGAGGCAGCAGGATGCTGCTAGGCTCCACCGCAGCTATTCACCCCCGTTAGCCCGAGGTGGCACCTACTTCTCTGACACAGGGAGTCGAGGGTGGGCAAGCCTCTATTCCCCTCCCCGAGGCAGCACCCGGGTGAGAAGTGCTGGAGGACACAAGCCAGGCCCAGGACAACAGCTGTCCACAAGCAGCAAATTTCTCTGTGCTGGCTCCACATCATAAAAAGCCATGCCTTTTCACCTCGGGGTGGCTGCTGCACAGGGGAGGGTGCAGCCAGCACTGCACCTGCAAGCCATGGGGAGACCCATGGCATCGGACTTGGGGCAGCATAGTGGCCTCAGCAGTCACCTTGAGGCAAGAAAGAATGTGAAAGCAAGCCCCTGGCTGCCCAGGCACTGGGACATGTCAGCCAGCTCCCTTCCAGACCTCCTGTCCCTCTTCAGGAGTGGCAGCCTGAGGAACAGGCCCAGGGGATCTCAGCCACTGATGACCCTGCAGACTGGCTGTTCCAGTCCAGAGCTTGGTGCCAGCTGAAACCAATGGAAAATTTTCCACCGTGTGATTACCCAGTCACATGCCTGTGCAGCCAGTCATAGAATGGCTTTGAGGAGGCAAGTGGATCTGGCCAAGGACAGGGACCAATTCTGGTCTGCACTGCATGATACCTGAGGGCTCTGGCCATGACCAAGGCACCAATGCACTGACACAGCTCAAGTTCAATAAGGATGTTTGTCAAAGGGACACATTCCACAGACCCAGTCTGGATGAGGCCCTCACCATTCTAAGTGATCTACACATTTTAGCACCAAGAGTTCTTTTCATCTGATTTCCCAAGAGGAGGAATAACACCCTGCAGTTGGTGTCTGCAGCAGAAGCCCTGCAAACTGTATACTAACCTCTTTAACTCAACTCCAGTGGTAAGACAATCACTTACAGAACTCCCCTCCTGCCAGCTCCCTGTCCTGGGCTGTGCACCATGGGAAGCGTGACCTAGGGGTGCAGCCTGAACAGCCCAGCCCCTTTTCCAGCACTATTAGCTGGGTAGAGAAACGAGAGCCTCTGACACAGAGTTCTGGTGGTAAGGTGATGTTTTGCAGTCTGGGAGAAGACAGCACAGAAATCAGCAGGTGATGGTAGCCCTGTTGCTCCCAGCTCTGCCATCTCCTCTCTTCTCCCTCTGTCACCACTGCATATATCTACACGCATACAAAGCTTCCTTACCAAGCCACCTCCTTCTGTATCCTGATGCCCCATAGCCATTCACACTGCCTAAACCCAGATGCACATGTGGTCCTCCCCCATGGCAGCTGGGCTCTGTATCCCCACAAGTGTGCTCCTGCTTATTCCCACCTCACCATCAGACCCTATCCTGTTTCCACGAACCCCCAAGCTAAGCCCCCAGCTCTCACCTGTGCTCTGTTGCCTCCTGACTGCTGCAGTTCACACCTTAACTTACCCCAGGCCCCTCCCATTCCGACTGTCACACACCCACAGCCCCACCAGCCCAAGGCTCCTTGCACACTCTCCCCTGATGAGTCCCTCACACCTGACAGACCCATAGCACCATCACCTTTCTGTACCTCCCCAAACAGTCACCAGGCACCTCATGGCAGTGGAGAAAGTCCCAGGGATGCTGAATTGCTCTGATCAGCTCCAGGTGTCAAAGCTACACGTTTGAAGAGGGAGTAGGCAAATGGCTTGCAGTGGGGAGGGCAGCAAGGATTGTGCAGTGCAGCATTTTCCCCGTGGGAACTGCCCCTTCCCAGCACAAGCCCTCTTGCAATACACTTCCCTTTACTGTAAGAGCCCTCCAAGGGAGGTGCTTGAGCACAGGCACTCGGGCCTCCTGCTTGGTTACCAAGCTGCAGCCTGCAGATAAGGCTGCAGCAGCTGTGGGGACATTCAGCATCTTTTCCACTCCCTGTACTAGACATGTACGTGGCACAGGGGGAGGAGATACCACACACACACACACACACACACACACACACGGCTGTGCACACACACCCAACTCATTTCCAGCTGTAATTTAGAAAGGCTCAAGTCTAGCCCAGGCCAGAGTGATGACATGTGCTGGACAGGTATTTGGGCCACAAGGGTGAGGCTTTGTCCATCTTTGATTTTAAGAAGATTGACACAATCAGGGTTACTGCAGGGAAGGAGTATTTTCACCATGAATTGAATGTCCTGCACTTTGTCATAGGAAAGGAAAACCTCTCTTTCCTGTAGGACTGAAGGTGAAACGCCCTGATGGACTTAGGAAAAGGGTGTCATATAAACATTCACAATGTTGCCCATAATGAAGACAGCGTGAGCAGAAGGCCCTAAGAAGGAAAACATGGGGGTAAGAGAGACTGTAGATGTATCCATTTGAGGGGCAGCAGGAGACACGATCCAGCTCCTATTACAGCCCATGAAACTGCAAACCTCCTGGTCCACAAGACTGATCCACCCCTGGGGCCCCACAGACAGCAGAGGCAGCTAAGTCAAAAACATCTTCACCCTGGTGGTTGATCCATGCCCTGAGGACACAGACGTCCCTCTAGACCTGACCCTCCTAGGGAGACAAAGCCTTGAGAGACCTAAGAGTTCTCCATGGCCTACCAGAAACCAGCTCATCTCCTGCCACACAGTACTTGCTCCTAAAGCTGGGAACAGACCTCAGGGATCTCTTGGCCCAAACCACTAGACCCTGCTGTTCCTGATGTGCAGGAGGGTACTGTAACACGGATATCCAAGTAAAGCCAGCATGCCCAGAGCAGTACTGAGTTATGTGTGGACTGCCAAGGAAGGCAGAGTGCACAGGGCGATGGCAGCCCAGTGTCAACAAGCCCAAGGGAAAGGCTGAAAGGAGCAACTTCAGAAGGGATCTGGGGACTAACATGGTTTTAGAAAATGTTCTAGACCTTGAAAACTCACATGAAGGGAGCCCAAACTTCCACCCAGCCTCTGCCAGATGAGAAAGCAGATGTAGCTACTGCTGCAGGTCAGCTTAACCCAGGCACCAAGGCTAAGGCAGACCCCTTTGTTCTGGTTCATTACTCTTGCAGACAGGATGGGTCAAACACTGTAAACACCCTCTGAACACTTACACACCAGACATGGGCTTCTGCAGCATCAGACACCAGGTCAAAGCTCAGAGACACAATAAATCACAGAGCAAAGTTGTTCCTGAAGACAAGGCTCATAAGACTGCCAGCAGCCAGCCTTGCAAAAGGACAGGATCAGGAAAAGAGCAGCCATGAGAATAAAAGGCTGGCAAAGAAACAGAAAATACTGGGAGCAAATAATTCTTTCCAGACGATCCTTTGGGCTCACCTCAGCATCCATCTGCTGAGGATGGTCAAGCAGCTGCAACCTTTAAAAAAGCTACCAAGTGACTTCCTTTCCAATCACCACTATCTCTGGGACAGGCACCATGGGGAAGATAAACTTTCCATCTGGAGGGCTGGAGGCCAGAATCCTCATGAGTCTTCCAAAAACACCAGCACCCCCCTATGTGGAAAGTCTGGTTCAAGCATGGCTTAAAGAAAGAGGCCATGAAGGTATTCACCTAAGGGAAAAATAAAAGGCCACTGTAAAGCAGCAGTTCCCAGGCTTGATTCTGTAAATAATTAAGGTTCTCAGCCACCTTTTATATGAACAACAAGATTCTCAGACCGTTTTCTCAAAAACAGACAAATATTCTGTCCTTGGCTGCTCTGGGAACAGATGGCCATTCTGAGAACAGATATAAAGGTTTTGAGAACTTTTCATATCATGGTGAGAACACTGATCTTAGTTTCAATAAACAAACTTCAGGTATTGTAAACAAAAGGAGGAGCTGAAGTTCTCTACAGCCTATTGAGAGCTCAGGTTTTGCAATATGCATGAAGTGAATTAACACTGTTGTAAAAGGTGCCTGGTTTGATCAATAAATCGGAGTTGATGCTCATCAATTGGATGGTCGTCTCCCTTCACTTCAATACCCCTACACATCACAGCTCTGTGCTTCCAGCAGAACAAGGAGGATGCTTTGCATCCTGTGCTTCACTGCCCACTGGCTTCTTGTGCTCATGTGGGAAGGAAATAATGCAGACTTAGAGAGAGATGGGTGCTCCAGCTAAGAGAAGCAGGGACAAGTGAATGAGCTGAGGATGAGGCAGTGCCTCCATCTCCCATCACTGCTAATACCACACAGATGAGTCCAAGTGAGAAGAGGACAGACAGAACACGACCCTGAGCCCTCCGCGTACCTCCAAGCTGGTCAATCCAATAGTCCATGAGCTATGACATTGCCAAGCAACCTGAGAACTGCAGAACTGAGAAACAACAGTGGGGAGAGACCTCAGAGAGTTTGGGTCCAATCGTGTTAACAGCAGGGCCAAGTTCAAGCAAACTGCTTGGGGTTTGCCCATGCCAGGGGCTGAAAGTCACCAAGTGTGGAAACTGCCTCCCTTCTCTGGGCCCTACTCCAGAGCCAACTCCCTTGCAGGGAAATATTTTTCCTAATATCTAATTAGAATTTTCCTGGTGTGAAACTGCTTCTCATCCTGCCCCTGGGCACTTCCCAAGAGAGC